CAGCTGCTCCTGCTGCATGCATCAACTTCCTTCTCTGTTATGGCAACTGTAACGTTTTGGTGTCTCATGAACTATATAATTTTGCCTGAACGCCATCATTGTTGGTCTTACAGAGGTCTCAGGATGTCGGCGAAACATGCGGATAATATCCAGGTTAAACTCCTGCCGCTAGATCTGGTAGTTTTCAAAGAAACCCACCTTGGTAATTAAGCTGTATTTGGGATCACACGGGGGCTATTCGCTGGTGTATTTGTACATATGATTTAACATCCACTATTTCAGAGATTGTGCTGCAGAAAATTTCGTTTACGACTTCTGGTCGGTTGCAACTGAGACCTCAGTTATGTATGATCCTTAGGAAACGACGGTCTGGGAACTTCCCCCTGCCTTAGCGAAACCCATCCTGAAGAAACCAAGTTGCAGCCAAATAAACCTGAGTCTTTCTCGGGGGACCTAAAGTCTCCTAAGTACCATGAATGATATTTTTGTCCGATAGAGGTTACTCGCAACAGAAGACGCAACCGTAGTGACCCAAAAACATTGGAACATGCTCTTCTAAGCTACTTCAGCTCGACAGCTACTTCACGATGTCCAACTTTGATACGGCATGAACACGAGCATTCACTAACTCACCTACCACTAAGGAACACGCCTGAAGGACGTATTGCCCAGCCTTGTCAAACATTTCCGCCCAACTTTTTGTCGGCCACCTGACGAAGGTAGCCTTTTCGCAGTCGAGGTATAAGCGATTGCCACTATTTTGTAAAACTGCTTGCAGCTTACGGCCTGGAAACAGCGCGCCTGTTATACTTAGTGGCACACAGTCTAGTATGGTGAATAGCATTCCGAAGCGGACAACCTTAGTCCACTCCCTGTCGACGATCTGACACCCCCTTAAAACACATGTCACTACCGAGCTGGCCTTCTTTAACAAATGCACTGATGTTCAGGAACAGCTTATTCCGAACCGAGGAAGGTGGCCTTTTTGTATGCTACATTACACATTCCAAAAGCACGCACTCAACTGTCGCGCGTCTCACTAATACGAAAACTTTAGGCCCGTGGGCTTCAGGGGATAATTTCAGCCTGGATTAGGATTGTATTCTTCATTAAAACTTTCGAATGACAGCGGATTTATACATGTTCCTTTGACTGCCTCCAAAGTTCCTGTCTCACGACCACATCAAACGTTTTGTCAGCCCCATTGAAGTTGCACTCTTCTTCATTTCTCATTTTAGAGGATGATCATAAATAACACTTCCAGAACATTCGCGATTCGAATGGATACCAAGGACTAAAGACAGACTAACATCTTTCTGTAAATGGCCTGGGATTTCACCAAAAATGATCGTGGGGCTTGGTTAACGAAGTTGTCGAACTCTGTCAGAATAAACAGTCAACGCGAATCTGAGTGGTCTGACCCATAGTGATCACGTCATCTCGCCAGAGGAACTGAGTCAAAAACATAATCAGTATCCATCGAATGACTCAACACTCTCTCCCTGGTTTTACTTACATGGGTTTCCAGACACTCCGCACGGCCTGCGTCCAACTGTCTCTTGAATACCCCAAATGAATTGTTTACCCAGGAAGTGCGCTGGAGAAGACATTAGAAATTTAAATACCAAAAGGATTCAGCTATCTCGCTCCCTTCAAACATCTCCCTATAACACCATCATAGAGGACCTGCTCAAAGCGGCATTCGAGCTTCTTCTTATTATTCACACACCCTCCTGCACTCGTATGAACTAGGAGGTATTCAGTAGGGTATGTCAGATCGCGTCTTGAACACGCCAATGAGGTTTTCCACCCAGGGTGCAAAGAACGCACCATTTACCGAGCGTGTCGGGCGAGCTACTACAATGGTGGTTTCTGTCCTCAACACCGTTGCCTATAAGGTGCATCTTGAGTTGCATGAACTCTTTTTCCTAGACTGCCGTCGCATCCGGGAGTACGTACTGCTTAATTACTCCTTGTTTCAGGCCTAAAGACTTTTCATTATTTATTTGGCTAGCACAAAGCGTGAACATGGTAAAATCTTCAAAATCAGGTCGCGCACCATTATCAGACAACAAACGGTCTTACTAGGAATAACCATCCTCTGACGATTGTCCACACTGCATCCGGAACCCAGCTCAATGCACTTTTGGGCGCTCTTTTTATGGTTGCTGCTCAAAGCTGAGAATTACAGTGCTGCACCCCCTTTTCGCCGATGTTGTCCTGGCGAATGTATGCCGTTGAATGAGAAGGACAATCCCAACTCGAGCAGCTGTGTCGAAATCCTTTATTCCGCGGATCGATATGTGAGAAACAGACTGACGCCCTAATTGGTCAGAATATGGGCCAATCGAAATAGAGGTTTTTCAGCTCGGGGATTTTCACCTTAGCCTTGAGGGTTCAGGCGTGGTCTCGCGAATAACTTTGTGCTTGACTCGTAAGCTCTCAATAGAATGTGCCCGTTCACCTCTTCCGTCTGCCTTGGGACCACCTCCTTATAAATCAAAGTTTTTTCTCATCTATCAACTCTGGCGGACGAGTTAAAATAAACGTAGTGGTGATAGAAATTTTGCATGTTTAGGTACTCGGGGACCCGTACCTTTTGGGACGGTCTGTCTAAGTTCGAAGCCCCTCCTGAACACTGTTAAACGTTCCTACACTTGATGGGTTTCTTATGCCAGATAGATCAGTCTGCTGAAAACTAAGATTTGAAATGCACGCTCTTTGTTTCATGCTGGCGAAACTTGGCTGGTTCGTCTCTCAGGCAATCGTAACGGGTGTTCTTACGATCTTTGGTGTCTTAGAAACACTGTCAGACCATGTTCTAGAAGCTGCACCGGATTAAAAGTCCCACCACCGATGCCGCCTTCGCTCGACTCCGGCAGGAAAATGGGTATCGGTTTCAGTGGTCTGGACGCGTTCATTGGACACATTCATCACATGCACTTGCTCTCAAATCGCATCGAAAATGGCGTTCATGTGGCTGATTTAAAACCCGGATGAACACTGTCAGGACAATCTGAACGTCTCGGTCAGCGGTCCAAGCCAATGGAACCAACACTGAATTGTTACCTTGCAGCAGCTGGCTGCGCTTGAGTGACAGTCGTTCGAGACGCCAGAGTATTCTGTCAGTCACCACGTAGAAGGTATTCGGATTCTGTAAAAAGCAGTTAGCAATTACGTTGTTGGCGCTGGATTGAAGTCACCGTTTGGCTGCAGAGGACAGCGTGAGAATTGTCTCTCGTGTACTTGCACACCATCTTGGATATGTATCTCGGTTTATCCTATGGTCCCAGCCAAGGCGTTAATCATATTGGGACCACTAAGTAATATATAGTCCGCTGATTAGCCGCGCAGTACTCCTGTACAATCAAACACAATCCTGCCCAATTTGGATTTACAACAGGGTGATGAGGAGGGAACCACCGATTCGTGAAATCCTTCAAGGACAACTGAGATACAACCCTAAGCCAGAGCAGTCCCAGTTGTTGAGTTGTGTGAAGATGTGCTTTCGCAAACGCTTCGGCGTTTTAACCAACATGACGCTTTTCGATAGTTCGCGCGAGTTCATCAGTCACGCTAATGACAAGCTCTAAGCAAACCCATAACGCAGCAACATGGCCGGTGATTCAATCGAAGGCAAGACATTTTTCAAAGAGGAACTCCACTTTCGTTGCTGAAGTGCTTATACCCTGTTGTAGTACTGTACAAGAGTTTCAGACTGAGAATACTCAACTCCAGCGTAACTGATAAATCCGGAACTTGTCCCGCTTGATTTTCCAAGGACAGATCGCACGACGCATGTTTGATTACCCTAGCACACCATGCGATTTCTGCTTAGCTAAGCAATGGTTAAAGCACCAGCTTACTGAGTAGAATATTCTTAGTTCCAGCCCATCCTCAGCATCTTGACTGCTCCTGTCTAGGCTGGGGCATCCTGGCAGTATCAAGCCCTCGTGTCTCCTTCCGTTGCATGGAAGCTAGGGTGCTACAGCTGAACAATGATTACCATTATTCACAGCTATACGGTCAGTCGCTAAGGCCAGCCCTACAAATTCGCATCATTTGTCAAGAGCACTCCTCACTTCGGATAATCAAGCTCTTGGGGAACCCGCCATATACCATTGTTCAAAGATAAGATAATTGTCCAGCTGTAACACCCTTTCGGTGTCTAACCACCATGCCCTCCAAAGGAAGTACGAGGGCTGGAACACTCAGGTTGCCCAAGCCTAGACAGGGGAAGTCGAGAGGCGGGGGTCGGGTTCGAATCACGGACCTTGGAGTCAGTAAATTGGCGCTCTAACTACCAAGCCACACTGCCCCCATTGTTCACGCTACATCGGGCTCCCACACACCGTATTAAAGAATCAAAAGTCTTAGTCTATTTTACGTGGCAAAAGCCGGTCAAGGGTGTGGAAGTGACCCGTTTCGATTCTCGAATTGAACAACCCATTCACAAGCAACGAACAAGCGACAAACGCATTAATATCAACACCGGTATGCGAGCAGCTTATACTCGTCCGCAAGGGCAAAAACATGATACCATCGTTTCCATGTATCAGTCACGAAGCCATGACGTGTACGTTGTAATTTCGCTCCGATACCTTAGATCGAATATTCGGTCTGTTGGCTTGTCTATCCATTTGAACTGAAAATAGCCATCTCGTTATTTTGCGGGTGAAGTGAAGTAGCATAGTACAACACAAAGGAATTGACGGGCGGCACCACTATTCTGTTGTTTTACCTGGTGCTTGCCGTAATTTCCTGATGGTTAAGTCCACCAGCAGCTCAGCAAGCCTGTAGAACTTCGCCCGCCGATCTCAGTCCTTCAGGTTTACATCTGATCCACATGCATATGTGTTTTCATAATTGGCCAACTGCCGACCGGCCAATTCATATTGGATATCAGCCAAGTATGCATGTAAATACGTGTCTCGTACATTGTAATGGTACTGTATCACGTGTTTGAGAGATTTACTACATCCAGTTTATCGGAATGTACACGGATGATTCAATGATACTTGATCTCTGAAGCTGTCCAACGCGGCTAGTAGGCCTGTTGTTCCGCAGTTTTTTGCTGACTAGACGTATGTTGCTATCTGGTACTGTTTCATACAGTCCCACAGCGTGTCAACCGCTTAGCGTATTCGTGTCAATTAACGTTACCATATGTCCTTTTGTTTACACATCACTCTTATACTGATATACTTCGACCGTAGTAAACACATTGACTTTCAGCATTTCACTGTTAACCTGTAAAATATAAATATGTCGGCTCAGGATTTTGGAATCCTTGCACTAGAAGTGTACTTCCCAAGGTACTATATTTCACAGTCAGACCTAGAAGTGGCGGATGGCTGTCCGGGAAAATATGTTACGGGGCTAGAACAGGAATCTCTTGGATTTTGCACTATTGAGGAGGACATCAGCTCCATCTGCCTGACGGCTGTATCCAACCTCGTTCGTCGGTTGAATCTGGACCTTCTAAATGTTGGTTTTATGGAGGTATGTCGGTGCGTTTGATACCATCTTCGTCCGCATTTATTTCATAATCCAGCTGTCATAGTTTTGCAGTGGGACTGTTTTCAGTCTGTTGTGAGCGTATTCATCGAGACAACATTCCAGGCTATGTTTGGATGGCGTTTGGCTTCATTGTTGGTATATAATCGTCAGTTTTCCTATTTGGGACGATATCTTTTGTATGATGGTCTTTTTCCACTAACAACCCTATCCACTTCATCTGCTCTTCTATTACCGTACGGTCGGAAATGGACGGTACGGGTGACCAGGTCCGACCCGACTTCTCCATATTCTCGAAGTGTTATTACGCAACCTCTTGCGAGAAAGTTCTCACTTCATTTTCGTACTGGAAGTGTTTTTACCAAAGTGAGAGATAAAAGTTGGCACCATGCGTTTCAACCGGTTGGATAGATCATTGGTTGTCCTCGTAAGGCAGTTCTCCAAGCTCTGATTTCTAAACAGTGGATAGTGCATTAGACAGTCGCCACTCTAAACGAACAGCGGGCAAGGATGGACGTATGGATTGCTGGGTGTTCTGTGCAGCCTGGTTATCTGATCTTTGTCCATGGAGCGTATAAGCTGATATTAAGGCAGTGGTTCACAAATGATCGCGAATATCTCGTTTCACGCTGTTGCCTTGTGGGTCGGTCACAGTTTTTGGTTGGGGAATCCTAACTCAATCCGCTTCCTCAGTTGGGAAACTGGGTTGTATCATGTCCACAATAATACGCGATCCCACCATTACGTTCGTATGAAACTGCAACATTCCCGATCTTACTTGACTGGAATGCGGCCGGTCTGAGTGCTCCGTAGACACCACACCTACACCATGTTCTCGATACTGTTCAATCAGAAATCCCGAGCTGAAGCTGCATCATAGTGGTCGGGATTCAGTTCTGCAACGATCTAGCAAGCTAAATTGGATGGAACTTAGTTCCCTAAGTTTCAACAATACCAGGAGGGCCAACGGAGAGTAGCTCGAGGAAGAAGTACGGGGTCCCCGTCCTGCGAGAGATTGCAATACGATATCGTTATACGAAGACACATGAAGGCGGGACCCCGGGAACGGGAAGCATGATTGCGATCGAGAAGGACTTGTGTTCTAATTCATTACTGACAAAGTATTGAGGGTCTTCAGGACCTCGGTGTACAAATATTTCCTTGTCGACCTGGGATATACAAGAGACACTGTTATCATTTCTGAAAAGAACAGGATGCGCAAACTTTTCTAGAAAACCGATCATAGTCATTCGATCCTTGGGGATGTGCTTCGCACCTACAAAGCGTGAAGTCATGCTGCGGGACGTACAGCCTTTGAACTCGCCCCTGAGAATTCAAGGAGTAGTAGTGGAAGTTGTGGCACACTGTACGTATCTCAGAAGTTGGATTAACCCTGAAAGTGATGTGACAGACAAAGTCAGTGCACTAATCTTGAAGGCCAGAATTGTGCATGCTAATTGTCACCACCCGTTGCATCAAAAGTCTATATTAGTTGGTCTCAGGGCAAGTGTATCAGACTACGGTTTGGGCCTTAGTGTTGTGTGACTACGAGGCTTAGCCACATAAGGCGGAGGATCTTAGTTATCTTAAGTCTTTGACCATCAGTGGCTCAGAACTGTCGCTGGAATTGGCTGGTACAAGCGAATTTTCATTGGTGGTATTTGCTGAGGCAGATGGTGAAGGTCTACTTTCTTTTTTATTTCTAATCATTCTCGTAGCCGCAGCAGGTCAACAATTAGCCACCCAGTTGTGAATTTGACTATTTTTGTGTGATCGTGCTGGTTAATTTCTGGAGACAGTCAACCTTGGGCATCTCCGCTATAATTTTTTGACCTAGTGAAGAAGGATTCAACAGAGTAATTACCAATCGTCCAACGTTCCAAACAAGATTTTGTGTTTTATACCCTACCCCAGGTAGCCAAAAGCAAACTTTTTGTGTTCACATAATCCACGACTTTGTTTGTTCCGCAATACGGAGGCATAGTAAGTTCTCAGTTAAACTCTTTTGGTCCTCCAGTTTCGCCACTGGGGTTGTCAGGTGATTGTTGTTTAGAGGTGCTCGGTAGAAGGAACAGCAGGTTTGTATGAAATAAGTGGATTCCAGAATTCACGCCTTATTTTCCAACGGAAAAATTGCTGTGACCATTAGTTCCCTATGTTCGTTTGAGTCAGCTCCCAAAGTTGCCTTCGTCATCTATGCCAGTCTGCTAACTGTCTGAGTCATAACGGGAGTTTTATTGAATTGGAGTGGGTTTAGATATCTAATCTATCGTTGACACAACATCACATTTAGGCATTCTAGAACTCTTTCACTTGTAAAACCGTTGTCGTTGAATGAAGGAAGCCAGGTAACATTCAGTGGTAAAAATGTCCAGAAGTCTTCCGCTTAGCATAAATGGTGATGTCTGGTGATGTCTGCCTCGATCCAATTCAAATTACTATGCGTGATATTTTCTCTGTAAGTGTGAATATCCTAGTGTTTCCGACCGAATTGTTCAAGTCGGTCTGCAGACGTCTTCCTGCCACAACCTTTTTGTTACAGGAGTGTTGTTCCATGCCCTCTGAGATGTAAGGCGAACATTTTGTGACCGCATCATTCTTTCATGGGTGTTAAGATTCTACTCACTCAGAGACGCCCAACCCTTGGCGGATGAGAATAGCTTGCTTGCTGTAGACAGCAACGAGGAATTTATTTACGCTGTAAGCAACTGTCTGAGGTTTCTCTGCGATTTATACAGCGAAGTTCACATGCGATCTGCTACCATGGCTTGTTTGATTGAATTCCCAATTGGTCCGGTAAAAAACCGTGAAGATAGTCATTTTACAAGATAGACAGGCCAACGAGGTTCAGTACAAGAAAAGAAATCTAGCATAAATTTCTTGGTTGTCGTTGGGTTTACGGACGGTCAATATGTTGAAAAAAATCGTTCGTTATTATCAAGGATCACCGTATTGTTTTCTAGCTGCGGCCCGTGTAACGTCCTTCGAGTACGGTAAACATTTAAGTAAGTACTGGGGGCGAGATGGTTCAAGTGGTTAGAGCGCGAATTTACTGACCGGAGGGTCCGTGGTTCGAACCCGACCTCTGCCTCTCGATTTCCCCTGTCTAGGCTTGGGCAACCTGGCAGTATCCCAGCCCTCGTGCTTCCTTCGGGTGGCGTGGCAGCTAGACACCGGAAGGGTGTTGCAGCTGAGCGAAGTACTGTTCCCAAGCAAGAATGACACTTCTCGTCTCACAGTTTGTATCAGGTTTTGAACATAGATTGGCTTCGTTTACAGGACGAATTCTCCACCAGAATACCTACAATTGTTTGCTCACTCAATTTCTTTACACCTTTTCTTGAGTAAATGAAGTTCCGTCCGTTTTTCCCGCGCCAGGTTGGTACGGAAACCCTGATTGATAAATCAAAGTCCACCAAAACTGTCCTGATGCAGTTATTTGAGGCCTGTGGAAATTTCGACGTGGAGGGCATCGACGTAAAAAACGCCTGTTTCGGAGGTACTGCCGCATTGTTTCACGCGCTAAATTGGTTGGAATCCAGTGCATGGGACGGTGAGTCATGTTAGTGTTTGATATAAAAAACCTCCCCGATTCACGGGCCCTACGGGTACGACCCATTTCGAATCTGCTGCAGTTCCGCAGTCAGTAAATTGATAAAAACGATTCCGATGTAATGTACAACTTCAATTTACCTTCCCTGGTACCATTGTTGTATACGCCTAAACGATCTTACCATGTTTCCGCCGTCCTAGTGGCGAGTGTCAGCTTTTGTTCGATTTTTCCGTTACCGTTTATCGTGATCGTTGGGACTAGTTGACAACCAGTAAGCGACAGTAGCCTGGTGTGAATGCTATTCGGTCGATCATCTTTAGCATACACATCCTACTCCATATTTTATGGCCATTTGCCAGAGGAGAGCTCTCGGAAACCGTATATTCGCAAACCTTCGCATTTTGACATGAACGTGGGTTGCGCATTCTCATTGGGATTCGAGCATGTGCCTGTTTTTTCAGTTTGTCTTACAACCTCATTGCAAATCTTTTGTGACTTTGTCACGAAAAAGAAGCTTGTGCTTCTAAATTACCCGTCTTAAAGTACACCAGACTCTGTCATACGCTTCTGTCGATCGTTCGAACTCAGATTATTACGCTATTTTGCGTCATACCGCTTAGGTGAACTATACTTGAGGTCATGTCTTAGTAAGCTACTCAGCAGGTGCACAACATAGCAAAATACCCCTATTTATGTTTCCTTATATGAGAACCATTATTCCTTCGAGCCGCTGGAAGACAACAGAGAACTACATCCTTCATGCTTGCTGGTGCAAATGACCTTATTTTGCTTCACGCAGTATTGCTTTGGTGTCTAGCTGACCCTAGATTGTAAGGGTCGGTTAGCAGGCACCACAAGAAAGCGCACATTAGTCTGGGTTCGAAGGGTCGATCGATGCTGTTTATGATAAGATCGCAGAAGGCTTTCAACAAAATGGCCAATTAAAGCAAACGACGATTGTCTAACCAGAAACGGGCAATCCACTTTGACATTCCAATAGTGAAGAGTCTTGGTTGTTGGTCTGTCCACCGAGCTTGGCCGTTGGATTGCAAACGTTTCATTACCAACCGAGGTGACATTGTCAGTACAAGATCGAGTGGATGGATTCCTACTCTTCTACCTGTGCTTATATAGCTCATAAAGAGCATTTGGTAGCTCTGAAGGCGGTCTTCGCGTTGTTTGATTAGACCCCCGTGAATCTGAGTTGGTTTCAATCTCTTGTGTCTGGTTGGTTTGTTGGGCGTATTCATTACGACAGTACTGTGTATGATTATTATGTTGGTATTCGGTCCTTTTCTTCTTGCTTTGGGGTCTGGATTTGTTCCCTTGATTGGTTGATTCTGTGGTCTTCTGAAAAACCTGGATACATTTTTGATGGATTCTGTGCTTCAACCCCAAACGAGAGAACACTGATGTTTTCGAAGACCAAATTCTGACCGTATCTTCTGCCAGTTCAGTATGACTTGTTACGCATTATTTCTTAGATATGCATAAAGTTTTGTAGTCTCATCATAGCATCTGGCTTTTCGGAGTAGAATTACGGTCTTCGCGTTAACTGTACAGCAACTGAGCATATCAGGGTAGGCGACCTTCAACTTCCTTCGAAGTTCCTCACGGCCCTCTTCTAACCGAAAGTTAAAAAAATAACTGGAAAATCAAATCTAATGAAATACATCTACAGAGGACGAAACCCGAGCCGTCCCTCTTAGGAATGTTCCAAACAAGCCGCTGGACAAATTCATAACTTGATGACAAAGGCATGAAATAACGCGCCGTTCTCAGAATAAAACCAGGAATAGTAAAATAGCGTAACACCGACTTGGATACTAATGTATACGAATCAGGCTACGGATAGTTTCTTGGGACCCTCGTGCTTCCGGGAGAAGTTCATCCAGTTAGCTGTTGGAACCAGGGAAGTCGACTTCAAAATAAGCAGTTTTCTTCAGTATATTCTGTCAGGGATACAACGAAACACACTTGGTGTGCTGGACAGCGTTTATTTTTACTGCGCTCTGAACTTTGTCCAGTACTTTTCAAATCTCGCAGTACCTGAAATCTCCTGGTAGGCTGACATGCGTACATTTTCACAGAAAGCACAGATTTCATACACTCGATTCAGACCATTTTCCAGTTCCTTCATACCCGACCATGCTACAGCTTGCTTTGACGTGGATAATTACTTCTATCTATTCTTTCAGGTCGTTTGGCTTTGGTAGTCGCTGGCGATATTGCGATTTATGGGAGTAAGGCTGCCCGTCCAACAGGCGGCGCTGGGGCTGTGGCAATACTCTTAGGCCCGAATGCTCCGCTGGTTATTGACCCCGGTGAGTAGCATTTCGAGGCTTATCGTTTTCGTGTGCCTGTTCGCATTCCATCCCATGTGAAGTTTGTGTTTCACCTCATCAACTCTGCCCAAAACCTTGCTCGTTTTCTTCTGTTCTATTACGCCATCACTGGCATAAAACCTAAGAGATTTTCGACTGTTAAAAAATCAACCTATTCTACAAGATACGGAGAATCAAGAAGGAGCCATCCGACGAATGGTCATTCTTATAGGTAGTCCACATCGGTATCGCCCGTCAGTTATGATGCAGTTTACGGAAACCAAATAATCCATTCTAAGATCGTTTTTATTGTGAGTGATTCGTTCACTTCGAATTTTCAATCATTTGCCCGGAGAACTGCGTGACTGTTAACTTGAATCATAGAAATGTAGTACAGAGAGCGCGTTTGCCCCAAAACACGCACACACTGTTCATAACTGATATACGCGTCAGAGTAGCCTGCAAATATCTATGGGGATTTTGAAATATCGCTGTTCGGATACTTCATTTAACTACTTCACCGAGAGGCATTTGCGACCCCATCATGCCAGATCACTTTTTAGGTTATGGAGCGAATTTACTGACTGGAAGGTCTATGGTTCGAACCCGACCTCCGTCTCTTGACTTCCGCTAGCAGTATCCTAGCTCTCGTACTTCTTTCGGGTGGCATAGTAGCTAGGCACCGAAGGGTGTTTCAGCTGAACCATTATTTCAGCTGAACCATTATTACCATTGTTATTATTATTATTATTATTATTATTATTATTATTATTATTATTATTATTATTATTATTATTATTATTATTATTATTATTATTATTATTATTATTATTATTATTATTATTATTATTATTATTATTATTATTATTATTATTATTATTATTATTATTATTATTATTATTATTATTATTATTATTATTATTATTATTATTATTATTATTATTATTATTATTATTATTATTATTATTATTATTATTATTATTATTATTATTATTATTATTATTATTATTATTATTATTATTATTATTATTATTATTATTATTATTATTATTATTATTATTATTATTATTATTATTATTATTATTATTATTATTATTATTATTATTATTATTATTATTATTATTATTATTATTATTATTATTATTATTATTATTATTATTATTATTATTATTATTATTATTATTATTATTATTATTATTATTATTATTATTATTATTATTATTATTATTATTATTATGTTTTCCTCAAACATGTTCATCCTGTCCTCAAATCCATCTTACCAAGCCTGGTAGCTGTGCTCCTAAGTTGTGCTACCCATTTGCAGCTTGTCACCAAAGGTAGATTTAGTGTTAAAGGGAAAGGAACCCCAACCATTTACCGTACCACATTGCTATTGTTCTATTCGCTGCTAAAATCAGCGGATGAAGGTTTTGTACACCAGCTGCATATTTGTCAATAATTTTGAGTCTGAACAACTGCTTTCTGTCCAGCTAGAGGCACGAAACTCTGGGCACTCAAACCCCATCATTTAGCTTCAGGCACGAAGCTAGCCAAGCTTTTAGGTTTCCTATCGCAGCTCGAACCGTAGCTCGTGAAGCCAGTGAATTCTATTTTGACATTTGACGCCCCATTCTCACTCTAAATGGTATCTGTTAGGAGTGTTGATTAGATAGTAAGTGACTTGAGACGATATGACATGTAAGCGCACAATGGCCTGTTTTGGAATGATCGATTGACGGACATGCTTCTTCATGCTTCGCTGGATGATAGTTTATAAATTTCCTCCCCCCATTCACCGGTCACCGATTTTCTTATCCTGTGCACAAAGGTCCAATTTTCACTGTTCTGCACATTGTGAACACTTGGTTCTAGAGAAAATGTCTAACAAAATCATCAGAAAAGCATTTAAGAGGCGACTCGCAAGCGAATTCGTTGCAATAAGAATCTCTTCGCCAAAGTTGACCGAAACTCGTTGCGGCTTACCGATCGTAACAATGTCTGTAATGGGGGTTTTCTATTGTACTTTTATAACCTAACTAGCTTGAGGGTTCCTGGATCAAATAAAATTGCATAAACTGATGTTGTGTTTATGCGTTCTGCCTGTGTTTGAAGTTGATGCATGCTCTGTTGAGCGTTTGAGGAGTCATTAGCCTAATACCTCGCTCTGATGATTTGATATGAAGTCGAATAATGCATGTGGAGAAACCGAGCTGATATTGTTGGTTGAATATGGGAACAAAGACGGTACTGGTACTCTACCTGCCAGTATGCTTGGACTGGATCGGAAGCCCGTACCGAACGTATACCGTAATTAGAGCAGTTGGTGTTCAGCGCGAATTGAATAGGCGAGGTCGTTTGCCGAGTCATACTTGGCCAACCGGCACCGAAGCAAATAGACTGGCCAGAAGTCACTCTGTTTCACCCCAAGGTACATTAGCTAGCGTCCGGTTGTACCCGACTAGACACAGCTATTCGTGGTTGATCGTGCACAGGAAACAAGAATTCGTCTTGATCACCGAAGCTGAGCGAAAACAATCACAAGTAATGGACAGTTATTGAACGGAATATACTGTAACTCGATTGGACATTGCGTGGCCTTGAATGCCAACTGGATGTGCTCGGTCTACCAGTCATTGTATATATGATAAGTCCGACAAGCTTACCCATATAGGGATCATCCCCATCAATCCAAAAAATTACTGAAACAACGCGAGCTTTAGAACAGAGGCACTCAGCCGGAAAATACACGATCAAAACGGGTTGTGGCAATGATCCTGGAAGTGTAGTGACTTACGCAGTGCAGTTTAATTCCGAGTACCCACTCAGCATTTCGGGACAATCCGTCAGTGCATGGACGGTTTTTCCGTGCCAGATCGAAACAACTTCCCATAGCTTGCGTTCTTAAAAGAAAAGTTCAGTGCGACCCCATTCAGCTTTAAATGACATCGACCCACTTGTGCTCTCTGGTGAATCTGACAGGGTGGCACGCGCTATTTTGTGGAATTAGATTGACTAGATTGACATAGGTATGTGACGGGACTGGTTGACTTAATCAGATAATGCGGAATCAGAGGTTAATAGCTAAATACTCAAACGGTGACTGACAGTGCCTTTAACTGTAATGGTATGAACGAGAACTTGTAGACAATGGAGAACGCGAACCCATGGTAGTTCAAGGACCGCCATGTTATGCCATGCCCCGTTGGGTGTACTGCTTCGTTATAAAAACGATCTAGTGATAGGATAGTTAGAAATGAAATGCATTTGGAGAGGCCGATGGCATTGATTTTGCTTAATGACCGTGACTTACATCCGAATACTGAACATAGCAACATCAGGTTGTTTTTTCGCTCAGTGCTTCGAGGGCGAATTTATTAACCAGAAGATGCGTGATTCGAACCCGACCCGGGCCTGGACAACCTGGGAGTATCTTAACCCTCGTACCTCTTCCGGGTGGCATGGCAGTTAGGCACCTTTAGTGGGCTGTAGCTGAACGATTCTTTTCTGATTGCCGGCGCCAGTCTAATCCGTTTCTGTAAAATACGGTCAGTGGTACATCTGATACCTTACCTTAAAGATAACGTAAGTTCAACCCTGGGTATGCCCTGGAAGGAAAGCTTCGGTCCTGTTCTTCTATGTTTCAGATGGTATCTATTGGGTCAATAACTCACGAGATGGCCTACCTACCTTGGTAATCGGAGCGCGCTTCCTTCGCTATGGACTATCTAATCTAAGTGAACTGACTTGAGTAGTCCTCTGCCTATCATAGACTCAACTGAAGCGTTCACCATATAGGTTTGTTTGTGTGAGTTGTGTCGGCTATGAGGACTATGGATAAGGGTATCCGCTGAACTCATTAAAACTTTCTCATCTGGCTTATAAATTATAAATTAATGAAAATGGAGGGAACGGAATATCGGGAGGTAGAATCATTTATATGACGACTGAGACTTTCATCTGTACAGTAGTCGGCCGTGGAGCAAGTAAATAAACAAGTGACCACTTGTTGCGAATTTTACGATTGAAGGATGAGTGATGTAAGTTATTCTCACTGCTGATCAGGTGCTCGTAGCAGGACGCTTCAGCTCCTCATGGAAGTGTACAATGTCATTTGATGTTCTGCCTCGGCATCTCATTGTCGTTTCCGCTCCTTTATCCCCCTATTAAGGCCTCAGATCTCACCACGTCCAACACAAGTATGATTTCTACAAGCCCGATATGAGTTCTGAATATCCCACAGTTGATGGTCATCTGAGTCTACAGTGCTATCGGGATGCGCTGATCCAATGTTATCGAAAATACAAACGAAGAGTATGGACCAAAAGTTAGTCTTCCGTGTGATTCGCATCCCGGTAACCAATCATTTTCAAACGTTTTAATTCACTTTGGTGATTCTATCCACTCTCGTCTTTTAGCCGTGCGTGTTACTGCTCCTGTTTTCCAGTTTTTCCATGCGTGCTAGATTACGTTGCGTGATGACATGGAACTGATCACATAACATGGTGTATAATCTTTCGAAGGAAAACGGTGATAATAGGAACGCCATTGTTTTTTGTTTTAACTTGGCCGTTAGTATCACACTTCAAACGTCCTGTTACCAAACACTGATGTCAACTGTAGTGAAGTGTCCGCTTGAGTATTACTGGCTAAACATCGTCGGTGGAGATCGGACGTTATTCATCAAAGTCCTCCCGGATCCTGGGGACTTTATCATACTGAATTCCGTTGTTGCACCATGAAAATGGAACTTTCTGACACTCCTGAAGCTAGTTTTTCCCCTCATTAAAGCAACCCACATTAGAAGTGAAGCAAGATCATGATTGGTTGTTGGGTTTGTCGAAGATCAACCCTGGCTAGCACCGCGCATATTAGCACACACATACGCACCACCACTCAACGCACAACCAGTGAACCATCTCTACGCTCACTACGCTTCCTGACAATATACTGATGATGTCACCTCGATTGGTGGTGAGACGTTTGCGACCAAATTGTCCAGCTCAGCTCAGATTAGTGAACAAACCAGCAACCAACAATGCAAGGATGTCCGAAGAGTCAGTAGGAAATTGAGTTATCTAAACTCGTTCCCTTTCCAATCCCTCCACTCAACAGTCCACTTATAGTGCTGTATTTACGCATTAATTTATCACCTCCCGCCTCCAAGGCATAGCTACCTGCTCTACCTCCCCAAATCATCGGTGAACGGAACTGTGGCAGCTACAACCACTGTACGATAAGTAAGCGGTTAGTACGGCTGACAATGATGATGATGAGCTCGTTAACGAATGATATCACCCACTAACTGGCGCTGGGTTTCCCCCTAGTTTCCGCAAAACCAGACCTCATCATCTCCTTACCGAGAAATCTAATCCATTTGGCAAACGGGAGGTCTGTGCAGCACGAGCAGCGGAAATAATTTGCATCGCAGTTGCGTTTCAGTTTTCGCGATGGATTTTATGACTTGCTTTTTACGATTGATTCATGCACCAGTATAGCTCCGGTAAATATGGCATTGTCAGTCGTCTACAGGAAGGACCCAACGGCTTCCACACCACCATGTCACCTGATAACTCAACTTCACCGATAGGCTATCTGATTGTACAACGTACTGTAGCACTTGGATCCTCCCCTCTTTACTCTAGTGGAAACCCGACGCCAAGGTTGAAACTTGGTAATGTTTGGGGCAGAGATAGAGGTTAGACTTTGCCTTTCGTGAATCATCTCCCGTAAAAATGGAACAACTACTTATACTGTATTTCTTAAACAGTGATAGTGACATGTTTATTCAAGCCCAAAGGCAAACGTGACCGATGATAAAAATAAACAGTACTTTAGCTTGATTTGGTTTCCAAAAGGACGTACGTGAGCTTTCTCTGTTTTGCTTATGAATGATATCAGCGTGGCACTGTTTCGAATGTCGAATGTTGCGGGGAAAACGCATATATATGATCAAAATTTCTGCCAACTGGCATCGATACTATCAGCCCTGTCTAAGAATTTGCTAACCCTATCCAATCGGATTACGCGTTTAGCAATCCGGTAACAATCCTTTGGTGGCATGGCATTTAGGCACCAAAAGGTTGTTGCCGTTGAACGGTTATTTTTTAGTAATCCTGTATGAATGGTTGATGATTGAGTGGCAACTTCAATATGCATTTAGAATCAGGAGGATAGATAATGCTGCTCCCACAGGATACCGTTTTCCTGGACGTGGAGCAGCTGGGTACTTAACCGTAGTCAGTTTTCCAGACTGAAGCCAGTCTCTCAATTTCACGTGCCTTGAGACGGCTTATCGAAAGACCAGCCTATCAGGTGCATTTTCTTTCCTGAAAAAATCCTACCAAAATACACTGCGCTCTTCGAGTCACAATCTTTGAAACAACGCTTGTCATATCACTGGAGAGATCCTTCTCAGAAACGACCGTTTTAGATGTTTCCCTGAAGCATATCTGTCCAGCTATGCATCAAAGGAACAAATGTCTGGTTCAATCTGAGGGTGGTCTCTCAAGAACGGGACAATTGTTGTGAGCGATTTCTCAGGGCGGAGTGATATCTTATAGAACAACAAAAAGGACTTGAAAAAGCATCACCTTGAGGAGAATTTTACTAACGTTTGAGTTATGACTAGAAATAATCACAGCATGCATGCCATCGGTTTTGATTCAGTGTCACTTGAGAAGCAGTTTTCAGTCGACTGCTTTCGTTATCTTTACGTCAGCAGTTTGGAGACCATTTCAGCCCAACAAAATTCAAGTAGGGTACTATTGACCATTGTGCGTTTCCGACAAGTTTGGCGTTTACTACCCGTTGAAAATTCTCGTTTGGATCTAGCACGTGCTAAGGGATTTTTTTTGAGGTAGATGGAATCGAGGCACTATCAGCTCGTGGTCAAACTAGTACAGATAATTTCTGTTAAAAGTGTTTCTGAGAATATCGTGGATAATCCATCACAAACACACAACAATGAACTTTGTCCATTATTGATGCACATTCGAGCGTTACTCAAGAATAGGCGATCAAACTTTATTAGTCGTATACCACTCTCCAATCGGACAGCTCAGGTTCCGCATCTATATAATAGCGTGGCGCTTACGCGGGTGCCTCAGCGAAACGAATATCTCATCTTTTTCACCAATGACGGAGGTTGATTAATGTGGTGTCGGTCTTGCTTATTTGTCCAGATATTTCGTCCTTCAAATCACTGGTCCTGAAGCAATTTTTCGGATTTATCCATCTCCTAAGAGTCACCATCAAGACTGAATTGGTGTAAGGAATGGCCATTCGAGTAACATAACTTCGAGAGCGGGTTGCAAAGTCGTTTAGGGCTGGGTTCACTAGATACCCTTATGTGACCTGCTTGGTGTGTCGAAGTTATGAAGAGGGCTCACCGTAATCCTGTACTTGCACACATGTGTGGGTGTTAACTGCACTCAGAGTACGAATGAAATTTTGCGCTACCCCATTCTTCAGCGAATCCTGCAAGACAGTCTGGTCAACTGCGTCGAATTCGATTTTGAGGTCCAGGAAGAGGGGTGGAGTTGGCCCTTGATATTTAGGATCTTGTTTATCTGTTGTCGTTGGGTGATAATTACAATCTCGGCCTGTTGTGAATCCTGTACGTTCCTCATGGAGGTGTGTACGCGAATGTGGGTTAGCCGTCGAAGAATGGTGCTTACAAGCAGTTTGTATACAACGTTCAACTTGGCTCCCCATTTAGTTATAACACTTACTACGTGGATACCATAAATGGGGATTGATCGTTGGAGCCAGCAGTCTAATATTTGGAACCCCCTGCTGAGCACTTTGAACGCAGAAAACGGGCTGTGTTCACTGTCTACCGTAAAGCATTGATAACACAAAACTCATAGGTGGCCAGTTGAGTTGAAATTATAAGTCATTGGCCCACTATTTTCTTCCGCGATCGTCTTATGAACGTTCAGCTCTTTTTGGACATTTCGTTTTGGTAAGTTTAGAGAGTTTGCGGTTATTTCCAGAAGCATTTGGATCTTCAGTTTTTGAATATTCTTCGGCAGCACCTTGATTTGCAATCTAGCTTCAGAGAAGTGCGAAATTCCAAGGTGGTCTGTCCGTGCATGTGATCATGGGTGGGGTATATAGGGTCGTCATTCCCGGTGTTGAGTATTTCCGCTGAACCAGCAGTTATCTAGCGATTATGGTTCGTGCATTCGGTGAAACTATGTGCTGAAACAGTGGTTGAGCGTAACGTGTCTTGGAGGTGTCACCAATGGTTTACGCTATCATTGGCAAAAGTCCCACTGGGGTGGTGGCGAGCATGGTCTAACAGTTATGTCGTACCTGTGTTTGTTTTAACTGCGGGATTCACATTCCAAGTAGGGCATTTGTGTCATCTGCTAAAACGAACAATCACTCTTGCGTATGATCAGAGTCTTGTGTGATCTGCAGTCCTGCATATAGAACAACAAAAAGGACTTGAAAAAGCATCACTTTGAAGAGAATTTTACTAACGTTTGAGTTATGACTAGAAATAATCACAGCATGCATGCCATCGGTTTTGATTCAGTGTCACTTGAGAAGCAGTTTTCAGTCGACTGCTTTCGTTATCTTTACGTCAGCAGTTTGGAGACCATTTCAGCCCAACAAAATTCAAGTAGGGTACTATTGACCATTGTGCGTTTCCGACAAGTTTGGCGTTTACTACCCGTTGAAAATTCTCGTTTGGATCTAGCACGTGCTAAGGGATTTTTTTTGAGGTAGATGGAATCGAGGCACTATCAGCTCGTGGTCAAACTAGTACAGATAATTTCTGTTAAAAGTGTTTCTGAGAATATCGTGGATAATCCATCACAAACACACAACAATGAACTTTGTCCATTATTGATGCACATTCGAGCGTTACTCAAGAATAGGCGATCAAACTTTATTAGTCGTATACCACTCTCCAATCGGACAGCTCAGGTTCCGCATCTATATAATAGCGTGGCGCTTACGCGGGTGCCTCAGCGAAACGAATATCTCATCTTTTTCACCAATGACGGAGGTTGATTAATGTGGTGTCGGTCTTGCTTATTTGTCCAGATATTTCGTCCTTCAAATCACTGGTCCTGAAGCAATTTTTCGGATTTATCCATCTCCTAAGAGTCACCATCAAGACTGAATTGGTGTAAGGAATGGCCATTCGAGTAACATAACTTCGAGAGCGGGTTGCAAAGTCGTTTAGGGCTGGGTTCACTAGATACCCTTATGTGACCTGCTTGGTGTGTCGAAGTTATGAAGAGGGCTCACCGTAATCCTGTACTTGCACACATGTGTGGGTGTTAACTGCACTCAGAGTACGAATGAAATTTTGCGCTACCCCATTCTTCAGCGAATCCTGCAAGACAGTCTGGTCAACTGCGTCGAATTCGATTTTGAGGTCCAGGAAGAGGGGTGGAGTTGGCCCTTGATATTTAGGATCTTGTTTATCTGTTGTCGTTGGGTGATAATTACAATCTCGGCCTGTTGTGAATCCTGTACGTTCCTCATGGAGGTGTGTACGCGAATGTGGGTTAGCCGTCGAAGAATGGTGCTTACAAGCAGTTTGTATACAACGTTCAACTTGGCTCCCCATTTAGTTATAACACTTACTACGTGGATACCATAAATGGGGATTGATCGTTGGAGCCAGCAGTCTAATATTTGGAACCCCCTGCTGAGCACTTTGAACGCAGAAAACGGGCTGTGTTCACTGTCTACCGTAAAGCATTGATAACACAAAACTCATAGGTGGCCAGTTGAGTTGAAATTATAAGTCATTGGCCCACTATTTTCTTCCGCGATCGTCTTATGAACGTTCAGCTCTTTTTGGACATTTCGTTTTGGTAAGTTTAGAGAGTTTGCGGTTATTTCCAGAAGCATTTGGATCTTCAGTTTTTGAATATTCTTCGGCAGCACCTTGATTTGCAATCTAGCTTCAGAGAAGTGCGAAATTCCAAGGTGGTCTGTCCGTGCATGTGATCATGGGTGGGGTATATAGGGTCGTCATTCCCGGTGTTGAGTATTTCCGCTGAACCAGCAGTTATCTAGCGATTATGGTTCGTGCATTCGGTGAAACTATGTGCTGAAACAGTGGTTGAGCGTAACGTGTCTTGGAGGTGTCACCAATGGTTTACGCTATCATTGGCAAAAGTCCCACTGGGGTGGTGGCGAGCATGGTCTAACAGTTATGTCGTACCTGTGTTTGTTTTAACTGCGGGATTCACATTCCAAGTAGGGCATTTGTGTCATCTGCTAAAACGAACAATCACTCTTGCGTATGATCAGAGTCTTGTGTGATCTGCAGTCCTGCACAGGACATCTGACAGAACTGCTGCGGTCCACCTGTGTCTAGTATCGCATCCAAGGAGGACTCCAGCCCACATTTCTATGAAAGCTCTCCGTGAATTTGGTGCCCAGCAGGACCAGCTTTGTCAGCGTACAATTGAATTAAGTGTTCATTCCTTCTGAACCCGGGGTGATGCAGATTTCCAGGTTTCTGGCATCCGCCTCTTATTTACCACTATTAACATCCATATCTCCAGCTGGTATTATGACGCCTCTCCTGTGCGCTGTATGAATGAGTCCGTTGGACTAATGGTGGAGTTATTCTCTCACCACCCTTGGATAACTGATATTCATGCTCAAGATAAGTTTAGTGCGCCTTTGGGTTTTACAGCACCGAGTAGGGAACTAGCGGAATTCAACCGACAGAAACAGATTCAACAGCCTTGCTGAGTACAATATCCAGCAGCCCTCATCTCAGGACCCCCGGATATACTCAAGCGATACCTGGAGTATGGCGTGTGACTACTTTTATAATCCTAAAGTTTGGTCTCTGGAAGGCTGTAAGCATCGCTTTTGAGGTGTATGTTGTTTGGGACACTGCAGCTTGTTGAGTTGGTTGTGCTAATGATCAAACGCCATTAGCCACAGTGGTGACGCGCTTTGATTGAATATTAAGCCATTGTTGTTTCCACGGTCGTGCCCTTATATACCTCAGTTCATGATGCGGAAATCATAACAGTCCTAGCATGTACTGAACGAATGATTTTAGTGACAATCCTCAAGTGGAGTGGTTGGAGTGAGTATGAGAGTTGGCGCAAGAAGAGAGTGCATTTCATTTGCAACACCGACCGCTTGCACCATCTATGATTGGGGTATTCTTGGGGAAGACCTCGGAGGTAATCAACTGTGTGCAGATTTCAAGTGCTTTGTCCGCCAGGGTGCCTCTTTTGTCAAAATTTCTGTTCCTTTTTTCGGTCAATGTTACTGTGGCAGCTGATTTGTCACTTCATCTGCTCCAACACAGAACACTTTTAGCGTCTGACGATTAGGAATTAATGGGCTAGCGCAAGTGATTGGCAGTCAGACTGCTTGGTCTCAGTCATCGGATCATTTTTTCAACTCTGGAGACAGCACAAGGACAGCACAGAACCGATACTTCGATCCTTTTGATTCTGATTGGAGACCGATGGCTCAACAATCCTAACGATATTTGTTGCTTTGTTTTTACCGATCGGCTTCGAAACCGTCTGACTTTCTAATCAGTCTGCAACTTGGAGACTTAGAATGACAGGAATGTCAATTTGTCACAGTTTGTCCAGGGATCGATGAAAAGATTGATGTGAGGGTCAGTAATAGGTCTACACTATTCACCAAAAAATACATACAGGCTGTTGCGGCTACAGTTTACATGACAGTGGGTTGCACATTCCAATGAGTGCTTGAATATATCTTGTCGTTTATCCGAAGTGAAGTCCTACCATTCTGTCATGGCAGATAACTTGTAATTTCGAATTACCACAACACATTCATCGTTTGCTTCGTTCGATCCACAGCACCTTCGCGTCGTGTCTCCTGAGTGCATTTTACCATTCAAGGCAACATTGCATTGAGATACCTAATGGACACGGTGAGCATCGAAGCGCAGCTTCTAGCACTATGAAGCTTCAAATTTATGTTTTCCGAGTTTTCGTATAGTAACTGAAATGAGCTGACGAGGTTTGAACGTTGCAACTATGCATCGGACATTGATGCTAGTTCGATGGTCTCTCACATTTCAGCGAGTGACCGGTCAGAAAAGGGTAGTCTGGTAGCATGGGATCTTCGGAAAGCAACGTACGGAGTGATGGGTGTTTTACTCGGCCACTCGAGTTTCGTCGGTCCAATTTAGCAGTGGAGCTAGTAGAGGCATCAAGGTATCCAAGTTCAGCTCGTGCTGTTGTTCAGAGAATCAGTGAGTTTGGCTTTCACCATTTTATCGGTAAATCTCGCTACGTGGTCACACTTCACTTTGTACCGTGTCTGTTAACTGTCTTCCTGGGAAATCCCTTCAGATTAAGGGGTTCACTTTCCTGTGAATAGCAGTGGTGTGCGCTTTTTGCGTTGGCTGCATGACGCATGTTTGTTCGCAATGGAGCAGATGCGGGAGTATAATCAGACTAATTGGCCTCCACTTGACGTTTAGTTGACACGTGGTCCACTGGCTGGATCGGACTGAATAGGAAAGCATTCTTATGCCTAATGATGTGCTCTTCTGAGTGCCATTAAAGTCGTTCTGTTCATCTGTCTTTCAACCTAATCTCATTAAAATTGGAATGTAGATCATTCAGCTCACAGAGTTAAATTTTTCGCACAAAATAAGTTTGAGTAGCAAACAAAGTAAACCAACCAAAATGCCGGTTCTCTTGAAAAGTCGCTGAGGTTGCTTGACGGACAAGCTTAACAGTGTGCAAAAAGTCTGATAGTCGCGTCCGATGGAGTGACTGATGTGCCCAACTTGAAACAGGTAGAGTTTATATAGGAGTTTGTGCGAGGGGAGCGGACCACTTGTTGCACTCTATTCCACGCCCACGATTCAGGTGGGCGACCAAAGTGGTCTCGGTCAAAACAAGCCATCCATGACAGAATGAAAGTTGTCGAACCGCAAATCACCTGGGGCTACGAATGACGGAATGAGCGATTCAGTGAGTAGCAGTTGTATCAAGTTGTCTTACAAGGAGGAATGGTCAGGTGAAATCGGTAATGCCTCGCTCAATGTATTTCTAGTTGGTCTTGTCTTCTTTGAGTGAGTTTCTACTGGCCTTTGTTGACTGAGTATTTGACTCAGGTGGTAACTTAACCAAGTGTCACACATCTATTCCGTTCGGAATAGGGTCGGAATGATTCTGTTTCAGTAGAAAAGGAGATGTGATGGGTGGTTTGCTTCAGAGTTTATAAGCTCTTAGAAATGGTCCTTATGTGATTGATATTTGGACTCAAAAGTTATCCCCATTGTCATAAGATACTATCTTTCATGAACAGAAAGTGCCATGACCCGATGGAAGTAGCAACTAAGTGGTTGTGCTCCTTTGTTTACTGGTAAGTTTGTTGAGGAGAAAACCTCAGGACGTCCTGAAAAGGTACATTCACTTTGCTGATGGCAAATATTCAGCTTTTCCAACGGATTGTCATCCTCGAGCTAATCCAGTGAACTACTTCAAGTCTGCTGTTTCACATCCTCTGCTAAAGATTTGAAACTAGTAGATGATGAAAACTTGTTTATCAGCCTTTACATGTGTGAATATGATGTTCATATTAGTTCTCAGAGCCACTAAAAATTGTCCAAAGACCTTTTCGACTTTCGGATGGGAATTCACGGTTTAGACGATCGCCGAACTGAACCATTTTTGACGTATGAACTTTTGGGGTTCTGAAACATGTTAGGGTTAGACTCCGACGGTTTATTTTATTTTCGAAACCACTCTTAAAGACAGTGTTCAGCTGTCAAGTGTATTCGCTTGCATCCGCCTACCACTTTACTTCAGCAATATTTCTTCAGAGAACGATCCGTTACACAACCTGACTGGTACCGCACCTTTCCTTCAGAATTTAAAACAATTGTCCAGTAAATCATATGGCGTTGTTGTTCTCTAACAGGTAATGAAGTTCCACTAACACCCCCATTTACTTCATAATATTTGGATGTCATTGGTGGATCCGTTTACATTTGATATTCTGAACACTGCCCTATTCACGATGGTTGAACTGAACATCAATCCCTGCGGGCGTGTGGTCTAGTGTGATTATCCTACCGGTTCACTGCCCTTTTAGTAAACTGTTATATGATCATAACATCAATCTGTTCAATAATCCACGCTTCGCTCTGATACCTTCTCTCGTCAGATCAACTCCCGGTGGTTGTTTCGGCCCCTTTGCAAAAGCCAGGGTTATCTTCCCTTCACAACATTGATTACCTGTGCTTTCACAGTCCATTTACTCGACTCGTTCGTAAAGCCTACGGATGGTTAGTTATGGATGACATGCTGGCTCTTCACCCTGGTCCTTTGTTCCCCGATAAGGAGGCAACTACAAATGGGTCCGTTGTCGGTGATTCGATAGCAGAAAATGGCACAAATAACTTGGCAGCCACGATTGATGATCAAGTGAGGACCGCCTTTACGACAATTATAAACGGCGTTGGTGCAGAGTAAGCCCATCTCTGATTGAGTAAATTACGTACTTAGAGTTGTTGAGAGTTGAGTGGGGAGAAAATGTGCACATTATAGCTTCGACTTTGTCAAGTGCCTGAAGCACGTGATTACTTTGACACAGCTGGACTTTAAAGTTAAGTCATCCAAGCAGAGTTTTCGAATTCACCTCTGGATTCCCGACCACTTCTGTTTGTACCGTGCATTTTCTTCGGGTTGCTTGGGAACCGCATCTAAAGTGTTTCACCACTGAACGGCTTGATATACTCGTTTTTACAACTGATTGAATGTGACACTCTTGGTTTTGCGCTTTTCTTCGGTTGATTTTGAGGACATTTTTAATGGCGCTAGTGTGTACCTTTCAACTGAGACACCAGAAGCACGGTATCTGTTGACACCGGCGGAAACTTCAGTATATTGGTTCCAATGGCGAATATTCAAAACGGCGTCAGGCTAGTTGCCCTTATAACCACAAAAACATTCCATCCAATCAATCTATCAACAAGATGTAACATTTGCATAGTTTTTTTTCGACTTACCCTCCCATGTTGCGTTAGATTGGTAGAACTCGTGCTTGTGCTTTTACACTTTCGCTAGTGGGATTCAATTTCCCTTGTATTGTTTTCCACAGCTCTGCCAAACAATCCACCCGCGATGTTGATATCCGGTGCATGGAAGCCACTCGCAGTTTGTTCTCAATGAAGGTTGAACACAGTCTTGTGTTCGCCAAACACGTGGGAAACATGTACACAGCATCTTTGTACGGTTGTCTTGCCAGCCTGTTATTCAGGTATGTTGATGTTTCTAGCAATGTAGAGCGAGGAGTATTCCCAAGCATTATTTCGTGTTTCGCTTCCATGCAAAAGCTTGCCGTTACGGATGACCGGTTTTTGTTTGGATTAACCTATGAAAACCACTAACAATACTTATTGTATTTCATTTGAATGAAAACAATCTCTCCTCACTGTTTACCTAAATGGTTTCATGTTTGTGCCTTTGAGAAGACTTCCTTCGTCGTCATGTTTCGATGAGATGACAGCTTCCCGTCAACATTCATTTGGGTTGGGGATTAATACATCTTTGGACTCTGGCGATCTCACGGGTGGTTGGATTATGATGGTGACCGTACCAAATAGAATCTTATTTGGACGCCTAATTGTCATAATGGCGGTATATATTTGGAAGCCATATTTGAATGATTGCTCTTCACCCACCTGTTCCGTTACGTCATTTCCTC